TCTGCCAACCCTGTATATGATCTTGGATACACTCTCCATTTAGACATACATAATTGTTTAGCTTGTTCACCCATCTATCCATCCCTATACCCATGTTTGCTTTCATTGACAACTCAGTATTGTATTTACAAAGGGAAGAACTCATTCTTTTGTTGTTCTTGCTCTTTTTATGAGTTGGGGAGAGGGATTATAAACAAAGTGTTTAACTTCTTCCATTTATGTAACAGTGTAGGGTATGAATTTAAGTTAACTTGTGCTTGGTTGTGTGCACTTATTGGGCCACATTTACCAAATAGTGGTTCCTGTCCACTTCGTTACTTCTTGTTTACCGTATACCAAAAAAAGTCAAAGCCTTTTCCTTCAAGTGAGTTCATACTCACAGCAACCCTATAGGTCAGAGTAGAACTACGTCATAGGGTTTCCAAAGCTGTAACTTTTACAGAAGCTGACTGCCGCATCTTTCCCATAGAGTAGCTGGAGGGTTTAAACTGCTGACCCTTAGGTTAGCAGCTGAGCACTTATGCACCGCATTCCCAGGGCTCCTTGTCTAGCATGTTAAAAAAAACTAAATCCCCTGTCATTAAGTTGATTCTGACTCATAGTGATCCTATAGGACAGAGTAGAACTGCCCCATAGTTTTCAAGGCTGTCAGTCTTTATGGAAGTAGGCTGCCTCATCTTTCTACCGTGGAGCGGCTGGTGGGTTTGAACTGCTGTTGTGGTTAGCAGCTGACTGCTCAACTGCTCCATCCCCAGAGTGCCTTGTTTCTTATTGCTGGTTGGAATTAATTTCCAGAATAATCACTGTTTTTAAATTTATTTCCAATGTAGTAACCTATGGTATTGATAATGACCACTTTAAATATGTAGCAGTGACTTGATTTTATTAATCATTTCCCTTCAGCATCAATAAAATGCCCACAATATACCTCCTTGTTGCAAACATTAACTATATTTCAAACAACAAATGGGAGGAAACCCTTGGAGCAATTCCTGCTACATTTCATACTCCCTATCAATACTAACACTCTGTCATACTGAGGTAAAATGAAGGTTGCTTTAGCCTTAACAGAAAGAGGAAGGGGGAGGCAGGGAGAGAAACAGGAGCAGTTGAAAGATGGAAAAGTCAGAGAACTGGGTAAAATTAACCAAAGAACCGAAGTTAGGAGCATGTATGTAATGTCGTTTTGCAGAGGCCTTTGAGAGCACCTAGCACAGCAAGGGCCCAGCCCTTTCTTTTGTGCTTTTAGGAAGCTCTCTCAAGGTGATTTTGTGATGGGCAGTCAGTTTTGGGAACCATTGATTTCTGTTACCAGCCTCTTCCCCATGGGCTGCTGCAGATGGTAAAATGAGGCCAGAGATGCTAAGTGGTAGGCCAAACTGCTGCTGGGCTAGGGGCCTAATGAAAGCTCTGAATGCAAGCTGAATTCTATAGACCTAGGTTCTAAGGCCAGCCACTCCTCGGAAGAAAGGTTGGGCAATCCTACTTCCGTAGTGATACTGCCTCAGAAACCCAAGGAGGGGTCGCTATGAGTCAGGGCTGACTTGACATCACATAACAACAACAACAACAGGTTCTAAGGCTGGCCAAACTACTTACTGATAGGATAACCTTGCCCAAGTTACATAATCTGCCTTGAGCTTGCTTGTTTTCTGTATTTGTAAGGTGAAAAAAAAACTAACCAAACTCACTGCCACTGAGTCAAATCTGACTCATAGCAACCCCTCCTTGGGTTTTAGAGGCACTATCACTATGGAAGTAGATTGCCCAACCTTCCTTCCGAGGAGTGGCTGGTGGGTTTGAACCGCCAGCCTTCTGGTTAGCAGTTCCTTAGGCACTGTGCTACCAGAGCTCCCATTTGGAAGATGAGGATGATGAGAATATGTATTTTGTGGGGTTGATAGGAGTTAAATGACATAATGTATGTAAAATGATTAAAATAATGCCAGGTAACCAATAAATGGCAATTTGGGTAGTTATTTTAATAGTTAAAACTAGAACCTAAATCTTTGCATTGTATTGCATTCTTTCAATGCTTTTTCTGCATCTCTTATTTAGGCATAAATTGTATTGTTTTTACTGTGGTGATGAAATATAAGTGTTAATTTTTTTCTAAAGTTATGTTTAGGAGATAAGTTGTGGTGGTTGTGTGTTGTCTGTTGTTGTTGTTGTTATGTGCCGTCAAGTCGGCCCCGACTCATAGCGACCCCTCCTTGGGTTTCCAAGGCAGTATCACTACGGAAGTAGGATTGCCCAACCTTCCTTCCGAGTGTGTGTTGTCTAGTCACTTCCAACTCATAGTGACCCTGGATGACAAAGTAGAATTGCCCCATAGAGTTGAGTTTCTTTCTATTGTGGTTTGAGTGAAAGTTTACAGAACAAATTAGTTTTCCATTCAACAGTGTATGTACATTTTATTTCATGACATTAGTTGCAATCCCCTCATTGTAACCGCACTCCTCCTACTTCCTGGGTTCCCTCTTTCTATTTCTCCTTTCCTGTTCCTTCCTGCCTTCTGGCCTTTCTTCTTGGGTAGATAGATGCTGCCTGCCCTTTTGGTTGGTCTCCTGTGGTTGATTGTTCTGAGGAACACATTATCAGGGATGTTATTGTTCACTTTTTATGCCTACTTTTTGGCTGAAAGGTGATCCCTGGAGGTGGGTTCAGTTCCAGGTCTGTTGAAATGTATCTGAAGGTCATAGCTCAGAAGTTCTACCAGTCTCTAGCAGACCACTAAGTCTGGTCTTTTTTATGATTTTGAGTTGTGTTCCACATTTTTCTCCCACTCGGTCTGAGACCTTCTGTTGTGATCCCAATCAGAGCAGAAGGTGGTGGTAACTGGGCACCATCTAGTTCTTCTGATCCCAGGGTAGTGGAGGCTGTGGTTTGTGTGGTCTGTTAGTCCTTGGGACTAATTTTTACCTTGAGTCTTTGACTTTTTTCATTCTTCTTTGCTCAACCTATAGGGTTTCCTAGGCTATGATCTTTAGGGGAATAGATTGCCAAGTCTTTTCTCCCTCAGAACACCTGGTGCATTTAAACCACCAGCCTTTCTGTTAGCAGTCAGGTGCTTAACCATTGTGCCACCAAGGCTCCTGTCAGGAGGGTTAGTGTGTGTAATTTCCATGAGTTTGCGGCATTTAAGAATATGATTGTTGTTGGATTTTGCCAGCTAATGATTGCCATAGGAAAGTTTGTTTCACAGGTTCAAAATTGTTCCTAAAAATCATGGCTTGCCTGTTTTATTGCTTGGCTCATATTGTTTTCTGTTTGCTCTAGATGCCATGAGTTAAGTGGATAAGCAAGCATGTGGCAAAACGTGTTTTGTTTGGAATAGTGTTGTCACTGAGAACTAGGTCAAGGATACAACACTTAAATCACAGCTATGACCAGCAGAGATTTACATTTTAAATCTATAATAAATAAAAGTAGTGGGATTTTGTTCAAGTTTCAGGACCACAGAATGTCAACATTAGTTATTTTAATTGTTGTTATATGCCGTCGAGTTGGACCCGACTCATAGCGACCCCTCCTTGGGTTTCCGAGGCAGTATCACTAAGGAAGTAGATTGCCTCATCTTCCTTCCGAGGAGTGGCTGGTGGGTTTGAACCGCCAGCCTTCTGGTTAACAGTCAAGTGCCTTAGGCACTATGCTACCAGAGCTCCCACAGAGAGGACCTTAAACTCACAAATGAGCTTTTGGAAAGTATTATGGAAGAGATATCCTTGATGCTTTTATTATAGTAATTGAAGCCATTTGAACTGTTTGTTGGCCTCAGGATTTTTTCCTTTTTTAAAAATGATTTTTTGCCTTATTAATATGATATATAATCCTGGTGAAAACCTCCTACTGTTTCAGAAGGATGTAAAAGGAAGACCAAGTCTTCCTCCCTCCCATTCTCACTCACGGGGGGTGGAGGGCTCTTGGGTATCCATCTAAAGTGCCCTTCTGCTGGCTCTGGCTCAGGGCCAGCCTGTGAAACCTGAGGAGTAATGAGAAAACCGTGGGCCAGTTGAATTCCTGTGGAATTAGAGTTCATTGACTGAATGGGGCAGGGGGGATGAATAGCAGTGGCCGGGGTAGGCATTGGCTGGAAAAAAGGAAAATATTTTCCTTCTCCACAAGTCATACGGATAGGAAATTTTACTCTTCAGAGAATTAGTCTAGAATGTAGACTTAAGCATTCACAGCTGCTGAGACTCCTGTGTTTCAAGTCCTCTGACACCTTCTTAATCTTTTTACGTTTTCTTTCTATATAATTCTAACAAGCATGGTGATTTTTTCCCCCCTCCTAAATTCACAAAGTAGCAAAGGCAATAGTGGGGGCTGAGTGTAGAGCTGGCACCAAGGGCTGCAGAGTTATAGCTTAAAAACAGGCAAGAGGACCAACATTTGAGGAGCAGACATAAGATTCAAAAAGCCATAGTTTACATGCACTATCACCTTGCTTTGGGCAGATCAAAGAAAAATATAAAATCAGTGGTTCACTATGATGATGTTAAATCATCAGTGTGTATTATAAAATTCTTATTTATGTGAAACACCAGTTTATAATAAGGCTAAATGAATGAGGCTCTATTGTATTCATAATGTCTGTTAGTAATTTTCAAAATCCCAATCAGAATTATTTTATATTTATTTTCAGTTTCACTTACTTATATGATAATTTCAAGAGATATAATGTTGATTGCTGCCGTTTTTTATGTCCGATATCGAACTCTTCCAACACCGGTGAGTTTGTTTCAAAAAAAATTTTTTTTAGTATTACTTATATAACTTAAGGTAGAAAAAAAAGTAAAGATTCACTGTATTATATGCCGAGTTTCACTTTATTAAAAAAAGTAAAGATTCACTGTATTGTATGTCGAGTTTCACTTTATTGGAATCATTTCTGGAAACTGTTTTTCATCTATTTATTACGAATGCTGAAAACTCCAAAACATAATTATCTTCTTGCTAATTGAATCACCCACTAAAGCAGTTGTTGAGTAAACACTTATAATCAATTTAAAAGGGCTTTTTTTTTTTTTTTAATTTTATTTTGATGTGGGTGAAGATTTACAGAGTAAATTCACTTTTCATACAGCAGTTCACATATACTTTGTCTCATGTCATTGACCAAAATTTACAATGCAACAGCTCCCCTCCCACTTCCTCCCCATAGTTACCTCTTCCCAGTGTCCATCCCTCCATACTCTTCTGTGCCCTGAGCTGTCTCCCTGTGCATAAGCAGCCCTTCCTTCTCCCATGATTGTTTTCTCCAGGGTGTGTGTCTACTTGAGGTAAATGTTTAACTCACTTGCCTGTTCTTTGTTTGGCTGGAAGCCACAGGTGTGGGTTCAATCCCAGACCTGAAGGGCAGCTAGGGGCCATAGTCTCAGTGGTTTCACCAGGCGCTATTGGACCAGCAAACCTGGTCCCCACCTTCTAAAAGGGCTTATTTTTGTTTTAAGTTAAACTCTTTTTTGACTGCTAACACGTGAAAGACCAGCCCGTAGCCGGCCATAGCAGCAGACTCTTCTTAGGAATGTTTCCCACAGATCAGTGCCCCTTTCCATACTATGGATAATCCAGAACTGGTTATAGAAAGAAATGAGGGTTTTCTGAGCATGGAATGGTTTGTTCACATATATTTGATTGCAGTTAATGTCATGAAACAAAATGTGTATGAACTGCTGTATAGAAAATGAATATTTGAGCACCTCAGCATAGCATAGCCTCATCTTTGGTTCCCATATTAGTAAAAATATAGCAGTATTTTCTTCATTTTTGGTTTTTAATCTGTAAAAGAAAATAGTGAAAAGTAGTTTTATTTAGAAAATTAAATTTATTTAGAGAGCTGATATGATCATACAGACTTTATGATCGGTATTGCTGTTAGCATTTTATAGAAACTGAGAAATAGTCTATACTTTTTTTTTTAACTTTTGTAGTTGGGGTGAGAATTTATAGAGTAAATTAGTTTTCCATTCAACGATTCACATGCATTTTGCTTTGTGACATCGATTGGGGTCCCCTCAGTGTAGTCCTTTCTTCTCACTGCCGCCCTGGGTTCCGCTCTCCATTCGTCCTCCTTCCTGCCCCTTCCAACCTCCTGAACTTTGTTTTTGGGCTAATGCTGCCCTTTTGATTTTGTATGGTTGGTTCTACTGAGGAGTCTGTTCCTCCCTGGTGGTGATATTCACAAAAGTCTATACATTTTTAGCAGTCTATTTTTAATAGCCATGGAAGGGAAGGTTTGTAATTGTGATTTACAGAGAATACAGATAATTCTCATTTAGCTTAATAAAAGAAGATGCATCTGAAGGGCTTGTCTAGCTTATTGTTGTGCCAACTAGTCAGTTCTGCCTCACAGCCACCCTGTATGACAGCGTGCCCCCTAGGGTTTCCTACTTGGTAATCTTTATGGGAACTGACTGCCAGGTCTTCTCTCCCTCAGAGAAGCTGGTGGGTTCAAGCCCCTGACCTTTGTTCATTTAGTAGCCAAGCATTTAACCATTGCATTACCAGTGTTCCTTTTAATCTAGCGTTAGGTCTAGGCATATAGTCAGCACCCAGTAACTGTGACTACACATAGTAACAATTTTTTTTTAAACTTGAACAATAAATTAAATATTTTATTTTTGTCCTCTGCCAGAGAACACTTGCTAAATATTTTAACCCTTGCTATGCCACCGCCAGGTTAAAACCAACATTCATCAGCAAGGTAAGAGACACACAACATTCTTTTCAGTTGTGGTGTGTATGTGTGTACATTTTTATTATAATGCATGTAAACTTCATTCTGGAGTAGCTGAAAATGAGACATTTCAATAATCTGACTATAGGAGATGGTGAGTGAGGTCACACAGACAACTTTAATGCAAGCTATTTGGACCTTTAGTTATATGTGTTTTGGTGGTTTGAGAGCTTACATCTCTGAATGTGGTACTGATTAGGGAAGGGCTACTGATTGGGGAAGGTGAAGAGAGTTGACGTGTAATTGCTTCTTGATTTCGATACAAAGACATAATGAAGATTCCCTCTTGCTTTTACTACCTCCCTTCCTTGGGAAAACACTATATAATAAGGCCCTTCCATTTTCAACAGTGACTGTTGCACTTGAAAATGGAGAGGAGGATGTTTTATTCACGCATATGAAGCTCTGGACTCTTGGTTGTCCATTCTGTTTCCTGAGACTCTTCAGGACAATAATTTTATGCCAATCTTTGCACACAGAAAGGATACTGTTAATGCCTCTTAAGGCATCCTTGTATTTCTGATAACTTTGTTCCTTTTCTTCTTGCCCCATCCCTTGTGACAGAGGTCTAACGGGTTAGGGATGCAGATCATCTATGGACAGAGGAGTGACTGATTTTATAGTTCCTGAGGTGAACTATGACCTCCATCCATGGTTTTTTTTTTTGGCTTCAGATGACTTGTGTCATATAGCTGTCTGAGTGTAGCACAACACAGTCAGTGGCTTAAAGAGGTGCAGAGACCAAATTGTTTATTTTCAGAAATGGAATAGAGTCTTTGTCATTTGGCTACAGAACAGACAATAGACGAAAGAGCATGTCTGAGCACATCGCCCACCGTTTCGTGCTTCACAGACTTCCAGGAAGTGTTGCTCATGATGTGCAGAGGGGAGGCTCAGCGTATTCTGACTCCATTTCCTTCCTTTTCACCTCACTGCCCTCTTTTAGGCTAGGGGAACCTACTCATTTCCTCCAGAAAGCCTCTTTCAGGAGATGAATGCAGTTCAATTTTCGAATCTTACAGGGTTTGCCAGGTGGGCAAGTGAAAGGCACGTTGGATGAGATACTGGGAAGTCTGGGTTCTAAGTTCGTTTCTGTAACCTGCTCTGACTGCAAGTGTCAGTTGTTACCTTGTCATCTATGCAGTGGCAGCTTAACTATTTTCATACAGAGCTGTTTTAGTGGGCAACTGAAAAAAAGGCAAAGAATTTTGCAACATTATTGAATAGAACATGGAATTGCCATACAAATTTGAGGTAGTGTTATTTTCTGATAGCTGCTGTAACGCTCACTGTGAAGAACAGCTGTATAGACAGGCCAGTCAGTGAAGCTGTTGACCCTTTTATGTATTCTCACCTGTGAATGCCAGCTCCTTTGGCAGGGATGTTGAATATTACAGATCAGTATCAAGCATGCTGAAGATATATCACTTTTCAGCATGATGGGCTACCTGCTTTTGTCTCACAAACTTGAAACAGGATGTGGTTGGCACTATTTCATATATAACTTCTTTTCTTTAGGTAAACACAGCAGTCCAGTTAATCTTGGTGGCAGCTTCTTTGGCAGCTCCAGTTTTCAATTATGTTGACAGCATATATCTTCAGATACTGTGGTAAGCTAAATTTAGAATTTGTTGCTGTTGTTGTTATTTTCCATCGAGTCGGCCCCGACTCATAGCGACCCCTCCTTGGGTTTCTGAGGCAGTATCACTACGGAAGTAGGAATGCCCAACCTTCCTTCCAAGGAGTGGCTGGTGGGTTTGAACCGCCAGCCTTCTGGTAGCAGTCAAGTGCCTTAGGCACTATGCTACCAGAGCTCCTAATTTAGAATTAGTTTTTGAGAATGTTAACAAAATGGCCATTTGTGACAGTTCTAGAATTAATTTGTTCTTATGGTGTTAAATTGAGCATGGACTGGCTAAAGCTGTGGGCTGTATTTTATGATTGATAACATTCTTAAGAAGAATTTACTATCCACTATGGAATGTACAAATCATATTTAGTAACTTTTAGACATAATAAAAGAGATGAGAGATAGAGGTAATGAGTTGAGGTTTCTGAGAAGGGAAAGATGGCCAAGGTAGGAAGGAGAGGAAAAGCTTCAGGTAGGTCATAGCATTCGAGCCTTGTGTTATAGGTGTAGGATTTCACGTAGGGGGATACTGAGGGGAAGCCATTTCAGGTGAAGGGCAGACCTGAGCAAAGGCAGAGATGTAGGTGGGTGTAGGGAAGTTAGTTCAGCCACTTGACTGGAATCTCTTACTAATGAAAAGGTTATAGTGAGAAGGGAACATGGAGGAAAGGAGTTTTAAAGGCTTTTTGCTTGATGCACTCTGGGTCAGGAAATGATTGGCTAATCAAACTCAGGTAAGCCAAAGAAGCTTTAAACATGATAAATGGGTTTTTTTTTTTTTTTAATTTATTATGGAATTTGCTCATGGCCATAGAACCATGTCTGGGTTCTATTATGGAATTTCAAAGGGAATTGAGAGTTGATTAATCTGAGAATTCACTTGAGGAAAAAGAAGTTGAAATGGATGACCAAACTGTGGTACATACACGCAGTGGAATACTGTGCAACACTAAAGAACAATGTAGAATCTGCACAACACCGCATACCATGGATAAACTTGGAGGACATTGTGCTGAGTGAAACAAGTCAATCACAGAAAGACAAATATTGTATTAGTTTGTTATTGTACAAAGTCAAGGAAAGGTTTATATTTGGAAGGAAACTTTCTTTGTTGGTTACCAGGGATGGGAGGGGGGGTGGGAGGGATCACGGCTAGATAGGTACAGAGAAGTATTGATTTGGGTGAAGGGAAAGGAAATATACTAAGAGCGAGTGACCAATACACTAACTCTAAGGAAAATGAAAAACAAGAGAAAAAAAGGTCAAATGTGTTTAAAAAGACTCCGATGTCCTTAAACCAAAAAAAAAAAACCAAACTCCCTGCCATCAAGTTGAATCCAACTCATAGCGCCCCCTTCTTGGATTTCCAAGGTGGTATCACTACAGAAGTAGATTGCCCAATCTTCCTTCCAAGGAGTGTCCGGTGGGTTTGAACTTCAGCCTTCTGGTCAGCAGTCAGATGCCGTAGGCACTACTCCACGAGAAGATTCTCAAAAACCGTAGGAAGTAGTCTGCTACTATAAAAGCAGCATGGAGCAGTGGGAGAAAGAGCACATGGGCTCTACACTTGAGTCTGAGCCAAGCCCAGACATGGTTCTATGCCCATGAGCAAGTTCCCAGTCTCCATTTCCTCCTCTGTAAGATGAGATTGTTGTGAGAATAAAACGAAAACATAAGACACTTAGAATAATGTCTGGTCAGATGACAGTTGTAAGCATTATCATTCTTTACAGAGAATCATAAGCTACATTTTGTTTAATATTAATAATTCAAACGACATCTTAATGAAAAGCATTGTATTTACATTCTTTTAATTAGAAAAAAATTGGACAGTGCAGCCCTCTTTACTCTTTACATAGCTCTTTGAATGAGGATATCCAATCTTTAGTCCTTGGGAAGGGGTAACCTAAATTTTTCTTCATGATTCTCACTGTTCTGTTTTTCAGATTTGCCAACTATTTTCTTTCTTTCCTTCCATCCAAGGTGTTTTACAGCTTTCACCACAGCTGCCTCAGCTTACAGTTACTATCATTATGGTCGGAAAACTGTTCAGGTGATAAAAGGCAGATGAAAGTCATCCATTGTCATTGGCGAAGAAGCAGTATACATCGTTGGTGTCAGGGCCATTTGGAAATCTACAGGAGTTTCTGCATTTGGGTGTTCAGCTTGACAAGGACTTATCAGAAAAAAACCATGTCATCAAAATTGAAGTTGTGTGCACTGAAAGTAAGCTTGATCATGGGTATGTGGAATTTCCAATGTATTTTTAAATACAAATAAAACTATAATTTAGAGTTTTTTATCTTAGGTTTCTTGATTAATTTGTAAGATTCCGATTACTGTCAAGTCACTTTTTTAAGACATTTAAAAACAAAAACAGTCCAGAGCATGGAAAATGGAGTCGCCACTTCTCTTAAGTAGCATTAAATTACTCACAGAGCACTAGGAAATCTTCTGGGTTTAAATATATATCCTATACAACTTGACAAAACAATTTGATGTTTGATTTTTTAGACCTGTGTGCACAACAACAGTTCATGTGGTTAATATTTGATCATTTAGAATTCTGACAGAACAAAGATTGCTGTGGATGAAATAAAGTAGTAAAGAGATTTAAAATGCATTAAGTTGTGAAAATAATAAATAAGATCAAACAAATAGAGGTACAGAGGTTCATCTCAGTGAAGACTTCCAACCTCTCAGGTGCTTCATAGTTTCCGTATCAGGCTAACAAGTCGTTGGAACATTGCCCTTTGCCCCCGGGAGGCAGGGGTTTGTGCCGTGGCTTCCCACTGTGTTACTCTCACAGCATTGTTTGTATGATATTTGGAACCCATATTCATGTGATATGTAAATAATATGAGACTGTATATTTTTTAAACTTTGAGGTATCTTTTTTTTTGTTAAGATATTAAAGGAATAAAAGAGCTGGAAATAACGCTTGGTTTCCTTGATGCTGAGGTTATTGACAAACCAGTAAATTCTCTCTCTCTACACACATCATGATGGAATTCACCAGGGACAGTTCAGTCATTCATGTTACTGGGATGACATTCACTGTATTCATCCTGAAGGTTTCACTTTTCAAAAAAGAAGTCATTTTCTTTGGGGCTGATTTCTGTTTCTTTTAATCTGTTTGTCTTTATAAAATGTAAGGTATGTGGCTTGTAATAAGGGAACAAGAAGGCTTCAGAAAGGATCTCATAGTTTTGTTTCATGGGCTCAGAATTTTTACTGAATGTTTTCTGTGGCGCATGGGAGAGAAAATGTACAGAGAGAGAGTTTTATTACCATGATTGTTTATTGCATATCTGTATCTGCATTCTTTTGTCTTCATAGATGATCTAGATAGGAGGTGGTGTCCTCATTTTACCTATTGAGGAAACTGAAACTTAAAGGTTCAGAAATTAATTTAAGGTCACATCTAGTCCACACTCTGCACTGTTATATGACCTATACTACTATAACTGAAAAGTTGCTCATTTCTGACAGAGATTTGGAGAAGTTTTTAAAATAAATGTTTGTGGAAAGAATCTTTATCCTGTGAAATAATTCTCTATGGTAAAGCTAACTCCTCTTCTGATGATACCATTTTAAAGTTACTTAGGTCTTTCATATACATTCTCTTAGCCTGGTCTTGGTGCTTAGTTCTGAACAAAAAGTAATGTCCAATTGTTGGCCTTACAAATAGATTTTGTTTCTGTTGTTTTAATATAAGTAACAGACTTCCTTGATAGTAGCCAGTGACTTTGGTCGTCTATTTGGATGCGCTAGCTCCTGGACCATGGTGCCAAGGGTCGCTTCAGGGTGCTGGGGTCAGCAACTTGATCCCTTCTAGGTCTGTATGTTTCAAGCGATTTCAAAGCCCCCTAGCTCTGCCATCTATCCTGAATTTATTTGTAAGTCAGTATTAAGAGGCCCTTTGCCTAATAGTACCTAGTGTAGCCAGTCCTTGTGGAAATACAGCTCTCACTGTAGATCTTACTGGCGGTCTTTTATTCGTAATTCATTGGTAGCATATTTTTTGGTTAGTGAAATGCCCCAGAACATTCAATATTTTGTTGACATGGGACGATGTTATAATTGTTAGGAGACTACATTTTACTAGAAGATGAGTTAGATAGCAATGTTAACACACTTAGCCCCTATTTAGTGATTGTGTGTATGGTGAGGTTAGGGGGCAGGGTTGAAATAGAACAAAGAGATTGGTTCCTTAACCAAGGCACTTTAAACTCCCAGACCCAGTGTCTGGCTTTGGTTTGTGAGTTTTTAAGCTTAGAGAAATTTAAAGCAGGAATGAAGAATGTGTGATACTTTGAAGTCAAGGGCTATCTTGTCCTCAGCCCTGTGAGCATATTATCAGGTTTGGTGATACAGGCAGAGAATTTCTTTTTTAAAATGTTTTATTGTGATTTGGGTGCAAATTGACAGAGAAGATTCTTTGTGCACTCGGCAGTTCTTACACATTTTGTTTCACGGCTCTGATAGAATCCCCACCCTTAATGGCTCTCCTTTCCTCCCTGTGACTGCCCCTCCCGTGTCGCCCTCAGCTGCACGTTCCTGTCTGTCTAGGTTTCCCCCTGTGGAAATGCTGCCCTTCTCATTTCTCACGGTTGACTTCTGCGGTACATCTGCCTGCGGTAGGTGGGTGTTCCACTGGTAGGCTTTTCTCCTGTTTGGCTGAGAGCTAACCCATGGGACTGAGTCCAGTTTCAGGACCAAAGGGTAACCCAGGACCACAGTCTCAGGGATTTCACCAGTCTCTATCTGACCAGTAATTGTGGTCTTTTTTTTCTTAATTTTTATTGTGATTTGGGTGAAACTTTACAAATTCATTTTCCATACAGTAGTTCACATATACTTTGTCTCATGACATTGACTACAGTTTCCCACAATGCAACAGCTCTCTTCCCACTTCCTCCCCATAGTTACCTCTTCCCTGTGTCCTTCCCTCCCATGCACTTCTGCCCCCCAAGCTGTCTCCCATGATTGATCTCTCCAAGGAGTGTATCTTCCTAATGTAAATGTTCAGGTCATATGCCTGTCTTTGATTTGGCTGGAAGGCACAGGAGTGGGTTCAATTCCAGCCCTGAAGGGCAGCCAGAGGGGCTCTATCAGACCAACAAACCTGGCCTCTTTTTTTTTTTTTAAATGATTTTGAGTTTTGTTCCACATTGTTCTCCCACTCTATCCGGGATCTCCTACATAGGTTCCCCTCCGACTGGTTGACAGTAGTAGCTGGGCACCATCTAGTTCTTCTGGTCTCATGGTATTATAGGCTGAGGATCGCATGGTCTACCAGTCCTTTGAACTAATTGTGTCCATGTGTCTTTGGTTTTCTTCATTCTTTGCTCTGGATGAGGAGAGACCCATTATTGCATCTAGATGGCTGCTTGCAAGGTTTTAAGATCCCAGTCAGTACTCACCAAAGTAGAATGTGGAACAATGCTTTTGTGTAGTGTGTTATGAATTCTGGTCATTTTTGTCTTTTAGAATTTTGTTCCACACTTTTCCTCTCACTCTGTCCAGGATCTCCAATTTGGATCCCTTTTCGAGTGGTTGGTGTTGTTGGCCAGGCACCACCTATTTCTTCTGATCTCAGGGTCATGAAGGCTGAGGTTCCCATGGTCCATTTATTAGTCCCTTGGACTAACTGTTTCCATATGTCTTCGATTTTCTTCACTCTTCTCTGCTCCAGGGAAGGAGAGACCAATAGTTGCATCTTAAGATGGCTGCTAGTAAGCTTTTAAGACCCTGGTCACTATGCACCAAAGTATGATGTAGAACAGTATTTTTAGGTATTATGTTGTGCCACTTGAGCCTGATGCCCTCTGAGACCATGGTTGTGAGTTCACAGGCCTAGTGACTCACTCCCTCAAGGTGCTTGGTTGTGGCTAAGAAGCTACCCGACCTTGTCCCCTGTTACTTGTATAATGTATATGGATATTTTTGTAGCACAAATACACCTCTAGGATATCAATCAAATCTATGGTTGGGTATATTCCCATTCACCTACCCACACTTGATGATCTCACCTATCTATGTATCCACCCATAGACTAGGGCTTGTTACTAATAATGCAATATTGTGTATGTAATAGTACTTGTCTCTGTTGTCTATACCTTTTATGCATCTCTCTGTATCCTCCTTTTCCCTATTGTTATTGTGTTGGTCATACACTTGTTATATTGCCTTTTCCTTCACCCAAATTGACATGAGTCTTAACTAGTCAAGAATTTTCCTTCTCCTTTCCTTCCTACCCCTGGTAACCAAGGAAGTATCCTTCCCTAGGCAGGGAATTTCATCATGTATTATCAAAAAAAAAAAAAATTAAAAGTGACATAGTTTTTAAATGCCATTTAACCTAACCTCTCTGTTGTCTAATTAAAACAGACTATCTAATCACACTATTGTGAAAGCATCTGGTGAAATTTGGAAACAGCTATTACAATAAAACGATTAAACCACAGTTTCCTACTTTAAAAATCTTATGCATATGGTCTTTATTTTTCAAAAGAAGGTATCTGCTTAATATTTTTAGAGCCACTCATTGAAATACTCATTCGTTCAAAATATGAAACAATTGGTGTGAGTTGTTAGGTGCTGTCGAGTTGGTTTCAGCTCACAGCAACCCTTTGCAACAGAATGAAACCCTGCCCGGTCCTGCACCATCCTCACAATCCTTGCTATGCTTGAGCCCGTTGTTGCAGCCACTGTGTCAATCCATCTCCACTGACCCTCTCCCAAGCATGCTCGCTTTCTCCAGGGACTGGTCACTTCTGATACCCTGACCCCAAAGTATTAGAGATGAAATCTGGCCATGCTTCCTTGTAAGGAGCATTCTAGCTGCACTTCTTTGAAGACAGATTTGTTCATTCTTCTGCAGCATATTCAATCCATGGTATAGTCGATATTCTTTGTCAACACCACAATTCAAATGCATCAGTTCTGTTGTCTTCCTGGTTCATTGTCCAGCTTCCACATGCCTATTAGGCTATGGAAAATAGCCTGCAAGTCTGCTGCAAAGACTTCTTTAAAGCAATATGGAACAAAGAAGCCTTTCTCTTTTCAGTAGTCTCGTATGAAACAATACACCAACAATACACTGTAATAATTTGTTTAGAAGGTGTTTCTGCTTGTGAAAATGATAGAGGATTTTTTTTCGTTTACAAAATCAATTTTTGAAGAGAAAAACTAGCGCAAAAGATAAGCTATGTTAAATGTAAAGTTATAAGGAAAACTCAGGCCTCTTGGTGTTGGCATCCTTGGACCAGTGTGCCTTTCTTTCTGTTGCCTGCTGGTCTTGCCTCTCTCGTTCCCAGACTAGCACTTAAGCTGCCCTTGGCTTGGAACATTACTAAAGCCTGTAGCCAGTAACACTGACGAAGAGTGAGAAAGAAGACAAGGGCAGTGTGTCGCCATTCATTACCCCTTTTGGAACCTATAAGGTCTCATAGTCCGGGAGGCAGTGAGGCAGGAAGCGGAAGCCCCACTGTGGACCACTCAAAAGGCACACGGTCTAAGCACACAAAAATGTTTTAAAAGAAATAAAATAGTTGTAGGAAAAATCAGAGCTTTGTTGACAGTTTGTAAGGAGCACTGGTAGTGCAGTGGTTAAGCACTTGGCTGCTAACCAAAAGGTTTAGGCTTAGAACCCACCAGCCACTCCACGGAAGAAAGATGAGGCAGTCTGCCTTGGAACCCTATGGAACCCACCAGCCACTCCGCGGAAGGAGGGTGAGGCAGTCTGCTTTCCGTAAAGATTACTGCCCTTTACGGGCAGTTCTACTCTGTCCTGTGAGGTCGCTAAGAGAATCAACTCGCTGGCAATAGTTTTTAACAGGTGGATGCTATTTGGAGCAGTTTATGGGTTAGACCCATAATCTCTTTAGAATTAAGGTCTTAATCTGACTCCAGCTAGTATACTTTTTCTACCTTAACCCTTGGAAAAATGGTCCAAGTTTCCTTCTCAGAAAACTGATGATTATAAAACATGTAAGTTATGCCAATTGACAAAGCTATTGGAATTGTATTAGGCGTGTTTAAATGTATATGTCTGTGTATACACTCGGAAGGTGATGGAAATTGATTTTGGCACGTCCACATAATAGACTAAATCTTAATAGCAGTAGGCTGAAAAAGCACTGAGATAATTTCATGTGTGAAGACGTTACACTAATTATAATTTTGGTGACTGGTTTGCAATTTTTAATCAGGAATTAGTGGAGATCTTTCAGATTACTTAAACCAGTTCTCTTGGTTTCAGATGTAATGAGACTAGGGATCCACCTCAGAATTCTGAAAATCTTTTTCACGTAGACAGTTCAGTCACTAGGGTCAAATTTGGATATGCAGTTTCTGCAGCATGATTTCGGTGCAGTTTAACACGTACACAAAAGAATCAAAGTGTTTTTTTCCACAGGACTAGAAATACGGCCCTCACAATTTCAAAGAATCACGTTTTTAAGTTTGTATGAAAGTGAGAAAGTAAAAGGTACAGTTAAATCATCTGACACTCAGAAATTAAGGCGTTTGATTCAGTGGGGAGCACAGGAGTACTTTTGCCTCTGCCTAGAGCCTTGAAGGTTGGGCAGTCTACTTCCGTAGTGATACTGCCTTGGAAACCCAAGGAGGGGTTGCTAAGAGCCGGGTCCGAATGGACAGCACGTAACAACAACAACAGAGCCTTGAAGTCGTTTTGCTCATTTCTTCCCTCTTTAAAAAAAAAAAAAAAAAAGATTGTTCAAAGTGGGCTTTTTATGCTTCCTAAGAAAGGAGTCTATAATTCTTTGCCAGTTAATCTTAGCTGAAATGAAGCAAACACTGACTTTAAGAAAGACAGTCGTTTCCTGTATTTCATAAATGAAGTTCCCAAAAGACTGGTTTGAACTGTGAAGCCAGAAATACCTTTTTGTCTTATTCTGAGATGCAATGAATAAACCCAGAACCCTGGGAATCAAACCACAAGCTCTTCCTCCTCCCCCTCCTCCCCCATTTCAGGAATCTACTGGAGTGGATTTCTTCAGTAACACATTTACTGTGCCTTAGCCAGAACTGCCCTTGGTCTTGAGGGAATTTCCTTGAAATGATTTGAGGATATATTTTCCATATAGCAGAAGAGGCTATTTATGTGATTTCTCTATTTTATCCCTTCCTACTTCCATGTACAAATTTGTTTTACTGGATACTGAGGGACACTAACTGCTGAAAACCCCAAATGAAACAAGAATGTCTGGGAGGCAAAGGGAGTGGTCTGGCATTGACCGACATTTCTGGGAAAAGAGATTAAAGCATAACCGGAGGCCATGGTGGTTCCTCGGACCCAGAAACTCAGTGTGGCCAGTCCGTGTGAACCCAAGGAGTGCACTTAGAAGCTTTCTAAGACAAGGACATTTTGACCATCCCTATCTTCCTTTCTGCACACAGGCAGCCAGTTCCTTCCATTTAAAAATCCATGGAGATGACTCCCATTGGAGAAGAATGAGTCCGAATCCACTGTGGACAACTAACAGCCAGCCAACCCCTGGGGCCCAGGGCTAGTTGAAGGTCTGGAGTTTCAGGGGGTAGTCAAAGGCCGGGTTTTTGTAGGCCACGAGGTGCGTGTGGTGGCGCTCCGGGTGGGGCGTCCGGACCCGCCGGTAGAGACAGCCGGCCAGCACCAGGGTACTGAGGAGCAGTAGGCCACTGCAGGCGCCCAGCGCTGCCAGCACCAGCGAGGAGCTGGGCCTGGTGGTGAAGGCGGTGCACGGGCGCCTCCACGCCGAGGAGCGCCGCCCGCTGAGGCCCGCGCGGTTGGCCGCCAAGATGCACACTTGGTACGTGGTGGCCGGCGCTAGCCCCACCAGAGGGTGCTGCCGCACCGTGGCGTGGACCTTCCCCACAACTGCCGGGACCTCCGTCCGGCCCTCGGGGTGGTAGTGGATTTGGTACTCGTCCACCACTGAGTTGGGGGCGCACCAGTGGATGAGCGCGGACGTGTCGGTCACCTCCGACACACCCTGGAGCTTGGGCGGGTCCGGGACGGTATCTTCCCTGCTGATGCCCGGGCATCGGCAGCGCAAGCGTCTCTGCAGCTCTGCGCACGGGGTCTGCAGGTGCTTGCAGGGGTTATAATCACAAGTGACGTCCTGCTGAGACGCACCTGCAGCCCACTCCTGCGCCTCCTCCTCCTCCGCCTCCTCCTCCTCCTCTTCCTCTCTGTAGTCGTCCAGCTGGACGATGGGGATCCTGCCTTTAGTGGGGCTTGAGTGGGGAGCCTCGGTAGTCCCCTGGTTGGGCTGAAGCGGGCTCACTGGGTTTCCTGAGGTAGGGAAGGTACCACGTTGTTTGCTGGCGAAAGGAGTGGGGACGGCTGAGACGGAAGGCCCGCCGACAAGGCCCACTGTATGTTCTGCTCGGTGCTCTGTCCTGACTGTGCCTGCAGCCCTGGGCGGGACGCTGGAGTTGCCAGAACCAGCTGTGGAGATGGTGGTAGAGTGGGCGGCCCCCTCCAAGCCACTGCTGTGGGGCCCTGCGGCTGATACCAAGGAATTCATGGGAAGTGAAGGGGCCTTGGTGACACTCTGTCTGCCTCCCCCAGGCTGGGAGCAGGGGGTTGTGCTGGGCAGGGTGGGAGGATCCCTGGGAGAGGTCAGCATCAAGCCCTGGGTTGATGGGGTGTGGGTTGAGTGGTCAGAGGTGAGTGGGGTTGAAGAAACACGGGTGATGTTTTGGTCTGACTGGCACACAGTGGGCAGCTGGGAGAGAGTAAGAGAGGCTGAGAAGGTACCACTGGAGCCTGCTGGTGTGCACACCGTGTCTGCCGCCCTAGAAGGGAGGTGAACCAGTTAGAAGGCATTTGGATTCAGGGCTGCTTCCGTGCTGGTCTTTGAGTCCTCGGTCCAGATGTCCCTCCTCTCCGAGCCTTGTCTATACACTGCTGCCAAGTACCACACGCTGCATGCTCTAAAGGCTTCACCTCTGTGACTCTCACTCTCACCATCCCATCATCACCCCTACTGGGCAGAGAAGGAAACTTAAGCCCAGAAAGAGGAACTAACTGCTCAAGACCTCATGACCAGATGTCAGAGCCTAAACCCAGGCAGTGTGGCAAGGAGTCCAGATTCTCTAAGTAGTTTGCCATTTTGTTTTCATCAGTCTTGGTACCAAGTGGTGAGTACTAGTAATCATAGTTCTACACACACTTAGAACATTTACTGAGTGCTTGCCCCGTGCTATGGACTGTCCTTAGCACTTGATATATACCAACTAATTTAATCTGCACCCACCAGCCACTCCTCAGAAGGAAGACTGGGCAATCTGCTTCCGTAGTGATACCACCTCGGAAACACAAGGAGGGGTCGCTATGAGTCAGAATTGACTTGACGGCAGTGAGTTTGGTTTGGTTCATCCTATGAGGTCAACTTGGCTGGGCCATGATTCTCAGTGGTTTGGCAGTTATGTAATGATGTCATTTGGCATCCTCCATGACGTGATCAGCCAATCACTTATGAGATTAGGGTGGGATGCAACACCCTTATTCAGGTCACAGTCCTGATCTGATGTAAAAGGAGTTAGTCTGGGGTGTGGCCTGCATAACTTTTTATCTTACAAGAAATAAAAGGAGAGAGAAGTGAGCAGAGAAAGAAGGACCTCAGTACCACCAAGAAAGAAGAGCTGGGAGTGGAGCACATCCTTCGGCCACAGGGTCCCTGTGCTGAGAACCTCCTAGACCCAGGGGAAGACTGATGCCAAGACACATGGAAATCTCTAAGGGATGCCAAGGCAACAGATATTGAAAGGAGACAAGGACCTTTCCCTAGAGCTGTCAGGGAGAGAAAGCCTTCCCTTAGAGCTGGTGCAACGGATTTGAAACACTAGCTTCCTAGACTGGAAAGGATAAATTTCTGTTTGTTAAAGCAACCCACCTGTGATATTTCTGTTACAGATAACTAAGACTCCTTGCAGTACAGTGAATGACTTAATATGGCCCTTCTAGCCATAATCTTTGTAATTCTTACAAAATGACTGGGTAGGACTATGCAAGTGTGAGGTGGTTGGGCCCACGAAGGGGACTGGATAACCTTTGGACCTGAGATCTCTGCACTGAACCTCCTCAATCCAAAAGACAGAGAGCTGTGACACTAGAGATGGCAGATGGTGAGAAGCAGTGTCACAGCAACGGCACAGCACGGGCAGCAGAACCAAGAGACTGGCATGAGACAGTGGTGGGCTTCCCGGCCCATGGAGAGAGAAAGCTGAGTGCCTTCGTGTGGGAGGCTTGCTTGGGAGAGTGGGGTGCCTCTGGGGATTTATCCATAGAGCTAGGCTTGGGACCCAAAGAGTGAGAAAGCTGCACACCTTCACGCTGAGGCTTACTGTGGAGGGGAGACCTCAATGCATTTACTGGAAGAGCTAGAAGAGCTCTGTAACACTTGCCCAAGTAGGGAAGAGGCCAGTCTGAGGAGCTGAGGGCTAGAGAGAGACGTGCCTTCAGGGGAGGCTTTCCTGACCAAAAAATGCTCCTGATCCTGAATTGTAACTTGTTACCTCCCTAATAAATCCCATAATCATGAATATTGTCTGTGAGTTTTGTGTGGCCACTGCAATGGATTATCAAACCCAGCAAAGAAGTAGAGAGTGCCATGGAAGGGACAGTTGGTGTCAGAATTGGTGGGAAAACAAAAAAAAAAAGGTTGGAGGGTGGAGGCATGCCTGACCTCCACCTCATAGGAATCAACCTTGGGCTGTTGATCTTGATCCTCCTCCCCTCTAGTGAAGTTAGAGGAAGTCAGACAACACCCTGCACACCATTTTTACACTTGTGGGATAGGGTGAGCTGCAAGGAGAAGAGGTAATAGGGTAGAGTTGGTTGGAGGATGCTCAGGCTGGAAGTGCAGGAGATTCCAGCCCCCATCCTTTCCTGGTAGCTTCCCTAGGTGTGGCTCCCCACTGCAAAAACTATTCTTCCAACCAGTGGCCAATGGGAATTCTTTGGAGGAATTCTTTTTCTCCCGTCCTATAAGAACATTGTGGAGTTCTGGCAAGATGGTAGACTAGGCAGAAGGACTGCACAGACCCTCTTCAACAAAGAAAAGGGAAACCAATTAACAAAGACACAGAAGATAATCTTGGACCCTGAGCCTTGAAGGGAAGGATACAGAAGTGGACTAAACCCCAACTAGCAGAAGAATTTG